CTTATCGTACCGTTTATTAATCTTGGATTAGAGATTAGGTTTCTTGATATCTTATCGTACCGTTTATTAATCTTGGATTAGAGATTAGGTTTCTTGATATCTTATCGTACCGTTTATTAATCTTGGATTAGAGATTAGGTTTCTTGATATCTTATCGTACCGTTTATTAATCTTGGATTAAATAAACGGTACGATAAGATATCAAGAAACCTAATCTGAATCTTGAATTACAGATTAGGTTTCATGATATCTTATCGTACCGTTTATTAATCTTGAATTACAGATTAGGTTTCTTGATGTCTTATCGTACCGTTTATTAATCTTGGATTACAGATATATTGTGATATATTTCCATATCATCTATAATATAAGGTTGTTTTTTGTAAGATATCTTCATCCTCTTAATCCAGCTGGATACCCCATGTTAGAAAGTTTTCACTACATTACGCGGCTCTGTATTTCCTAGGTGTTGGTTTACACGTGTTTATATTTCCTAGGTGTTGGTTAACACGGCTCTGTATTTCCTAGGTGTTGGTTTACACGTGTTTATATTTCCTATGTGTTGGTTAACACGGCTCTGTATTTCCTAGGTGTTGGTTTACACCTGTTTATATTTCTTAGGTGTTGTTTAACCCGGCTCTGTATTTCCTAGGTGTTGGTTAACGCGGCTCTGTATTTCCTAGGTGTTGGTATACACGTGTTTATATTTCCTAGGTGTTGGTTAACACGGCTCTGTATTTCCTAGGTGTTGGTTAACACGGCTCTGTATTTCCTAGGTGTTGGTTAACATGGCTCTGTATTTCCTAGGTGTTGGTTAACACGGATCTGTATTTCCTATGTGCTTGTAATACGTTTAGTGCATTTATAGCTGTTAGTAACGCGAATTCGTGTTTACGTACGCGTTGGCTATTACGTCTTCGTGTTTTAAATGCTGGTTAATTCTGTATACATCTAGGTTTAAATCTCCTTTTTAAATGTGAGTTGCTGTGGACCTGAGCACTTATATCTTCTCCTAATTATTAACTGAGGTTCAATAATACGGAATAAATCAGATAGACGAAGTATCCCTACTCATGTGTGTGTTCTATTTACGTAAGTACAATAAAATTATTGTAATCAGTTGTACTTTTAATTTTATCTGACGACTGTTTTTTTTCTAGGCCTATTTGTACGTATATCTGAATAGATTTGTGTGCGTAGCGATCTATCTTCCACTTTGTGTGTGAATGGATTAGTTAGTTATCCATGGCACCCATATCCCTCCCAACAAAGTAGTTCCAAGTTTCCACCCGTTTTGATGCAAGATATATTTTTATAGTATCCTGTTCGTGTAGGAGGTTGGTAAGTGAACATTTACTGTAATCAGTTCCTCTTATGGGACTAGACGTAATAGGAAATTGTCTGGTTTAATCCCTGAAACGTTCGTGGTTTTCTCCCATTAAATAATACACTTTTCTTGATGGCGTTTATGGAAAACCGAGCCATTAAATGATACACTTTTCTTGATGACGTTTATGGAAAACCGAGCCATTAAATAATACACTTTTCTTGAAGGTGTTTATGGAAAACCGAACTATTAAATAATACACTTTTCTTGAAGGTGTTTATGGAAAACCGAAGCCTAAGAAAAGTGTATTATTTAATCCATCGGCTCGGTTTTCCATAAACAAGAAAAGTGTATTATTTAATGGAAGGTGTTTATGGAAAACCGAGCCATTAAATAATACACTTTTCTTGATGACGTTTATGGAAAACCGAGCCATTAAATAATACACTTTTCTTGAAGGTGTTTCTTCATTTATTTGTTGTTAAGTGCAAAGCTGCACCTTGGGCTATCTATGGTATCGAAACCCGGGTTTTAGCATTATAAGCCTTCAGACATACCGCTGTCCCACTTGGGGACTTTACTGGATTTTATTGAACTTGTTTTTAAAGTGCCCGGATACTCTGTTTTTAAAGTGCCCGGATACTCTGTTTTTAAAGTGTCCGGATACTCTGTTTTTAAAGTGCCTGGATACTCTGTTTTTGAAGTGCCCGGATACTCTGTACTTAAAGTGCCCGGATACTCTGTTTTTAAAGTGCCCGGATACTCTGTACTTAAAGTGCCCGGATACTCTGTTTTTAAAGTGACCGGATACTCTGTTTTTAAAGTGCCCAGATACTCTGTTTTTAAAGTGCCCGGATACTCTGTTTTTGATGTGCCCGGATACTCTGTTTTTGATGTGCCG